CCGTGAGTGGAAGTCGTGTGCGCATGAACCGGTGTGAGAGCGTCACGGTATAAATTCTACAGAAGGCCGTTAGCCTCGTGTATATTTCGCGTAACGATATGGTTGTTTTGTTGAATTTTGATATTGTGTATTTTATCACGCACCGTAGAATTGTAAAATGTAGTCGTGTATTCCCATTGTATTACACAAACAAATAATAGAGTATTGATTATAAATAATGTTAATTTACTGGTTAGTTGTAAGAAACTTTGTGAGTTATATGTAATTGTAGTCATGGGTGGAAGGATGAACGTTTAGTGGTCTTTTGTTTTTGTTTTAAGCTTCACATGATGGGTAAATCACCATAGAGCCTACAGAAGGTCAGCACCGCTGGAGCGCCAGGTCTTCGCCGTGCAGTAACGGGACCGACCAACGTTACATTTCAGTTACTCAGGGTCTAGGTCAACTGCAAAGAAGGATTGTCTCCAGGGACAGGCTGTCATGTAGCGACTCGGCTGTAATATGTAAGCTAGTCACCGCCCTATCAGTGAGGGAGTTTTCAGGATACGGTTGCTTTGTCAGCAATTCGTCTTGGTGTTGGGAACTGAGCGAGTCGTTCCTTTACAACTCGGACTTTGTCAGTCCACGGAAGCTGTTTTGCGTGCACCCTCCGTGTGCACTATTCGACACATTGGAGATGTTGATTGTGAGACCACCTTGTACCTTGTCTGTGAAGAGACTGTAGCCATCTTTACTGTTAAAGTGTATGAATGGAGAGTGATTGTGAGTGTGACTGGGTGTCTGTAGTTTTCATGTTCTCTATGTTAATAAATTTGTGTATATGTTCATTTGTTGTATTCTTGTGTTGATTTCCTGATATACTGCACAGAGGCCCGTCCCACGTTACAGTAATCAAGACTGACTTTCGAAGTGAATCGCAAAATTATGTTAAAATATCAAGCACAAAGCGAAAGATAACCAAATGGACATAAGAAAACCCTTGGGGAAGCTTATTATTGCAGATAGGACTTGTTAGACGAATCAGAGCAATCAGGACGGTGTATTCTGTCGGATTGACTAACAGAGTGACCAAGTTGAATTAATTCAAAGCTTTTCATATTGTTTACAAATACCAGTGGGGCTGGAATGAGACTTTTACATAAAAGGTGGTTATTTCTGTCTTTTTTCGTAATTCTCACGTTAACAAACAACGTCGGATGCCGAAAAACAGGTGTTTACGTATTTTGAGACTACATTTTTCTCCGCCATCACACGAGTTCGTGAATACAAATGAACTGCATCGCTTTCAAATTTATCACGTGATGTTATCAGCTCTAAATTTAAGAAGGGTTTCCCGAATAAGATATTGACATATTGGATACTAGAAATCAACTTTGAGGTTGGATAGTATAGAAACTTAACTGAAAGTGTATTAAAAACACATAAAACGAAAAACGTTTTACTATAATGTCCCTTTAAGCAGACGAAGGAAATTAAAATGTCGTCATATATCGATGGATTTCCAAGCAAAACTAAACATCAAAATGAAATGAGGTAGACAACAAATAATCTTATCTACAAAATAACATGTAGTTATCAAATAGTGAAAAAGAAAAACCAACAATATATAGTCATTTCAGATAGTGTTATCCTACACACAGGACAACATAAGCAATAGTATGTATGAACACTGACTTAAACAAGGTGAACTATCTAAGATGTTATCACAATAAGTGTCACATACGAGGTGTATTCTATATACATAGACATACATATATCCAACTGATCATAAACCGCTTTTATAGGATCGTAATAGTCTAACAGTATATTGCATTTTACTATAAGTGCTGTAAACGTCTAATCTCTTCCTCTGCAGGGTTGAACTGCTGATGCCATTTTCCTCCATTTGAACTTTCCATGTATTCTCTGATGGCATTATTGGTGTCCCCTAACATTTCATAGCAAATTCCCAAGAGATTGTGAACAATCCAGTGTTGAGCACATCCCTGTTTCAAATCATATTTCACCACCCGAAGATTAATCAACGTGGCATCACGCCTTCTCGTGTCACCAAGCTCCTGGTAGCAGAGAAAGGAAAGGAATAAGGCGTACGGCAGTGGAGGAATTTGAATTCTGCAAATGCATCTGTTAAGATAGACGTGTAGTTGGAATGGACAGAATCCGGGAACGTCTTTGTCAAATTCTATATCAGAAACGATTGTATCTTGATATTTTTTTAAAAGTGTATATCCTCGTCCGCAAACCAGATGTTGGTACCTGTCTCTGTCGACGCGGTTTAAGCCAGTATCAACATATACTTTAACTGACGAGATCATGTTCCCACACATCAATAGTGCTTTCTCGTAATTACCAGTCTGGTAGTAGTATGTTGCCAGAGTCAGCTGTCCTGGACTTGTACTCACTGATGCAAATAGCTCCGTAAACTTCTTACATCTCCTTAGAAATTTGTATTTCTCTTTGTTCGATTTTACCATAATGTGTTCGCCAAAAGTGTCAATTCCCATTAAAGACAGAGACGTAACTGTTTGATGATAGCCTAAGAATTCATCCACATCCGATTTTGCCCTACACAAAATAGCCAGCGACCGAGTGACGTTTCCGTTAGGTATCGTGCTTTTTCTTAAAATTTCCATATCGTATTGACATTCTTTGTCCTTTGGTGACAATAATATGTGATTCCATTTTCCATTCATTACCATCTCCAAATTCTCTCCGATAGATGGTTGTAGGAATGTTCCAACTGAAAGACACATCCAATTCATTTCGTACATTTCCACTAGAAAACGAAGAAGTTTTCGCTTGATTTCCTCGGAAAGTTTCCCTTGAAACATATTGTTGCCTATAATGAAATAATTGGGACAATACCCAGCATTTATCCATGCCACCAATGTCTTCAAACAAAGCATGAAGCATAGAAATGTATTTTGTCCTTTCCAGAATGAAAGGGGTGTATTTTCTACTGTAAAGAACACAATTGTTTTCATGATATAGGACGACAGAATGTCTACATTTCCTGTTATCTCTTTCAACTTTCCAGATATTTGTTTCAGGAAGTACTTGAGAAGTCCATATACCAAGAACTGTTCATGAGTCAAAGAATGGACAAGTTTTCTTTCTGCAGTCACGAATGATATCATCCATTGTAGAAATGTGTCAGCAGAAGTGTTATCTCCCTTGGGCACAACATGACAACCACTTTGTGAAATATCACAAATTAATGCTTTGTCCGGCCATCCATGAAGTCGGGACCTGCTCAACCACTCGTTGGCTGCTGGTGGATAACTATGACATTGAAAAGACGTAACAATATCCATATCTTGCCCAAGATGACTGTGCGTTTTTTTTACAGCAGCTGCCGGTCCAGATGTTTCGATGTCAATGCGGAAACCCGATCTCACAATTTTTTTATACTGACTTAGAAAAATCTCACTGGATATGAAAAGCTTGTCCAGAACCGGAACAATGGATTCTGCTACCAAAGGATGACATGATTCCCTGATTTGAACTAGTTCTAATGTCACAAAACCAGGTCGACTGGCAGCATCTCTCATGACAAAAACTGTCTTGTCTCTGCTATATGGGTTTGTATTTTTGTTCAGGCAGACATTTATTTCTTTGTAAATGAACATTACATCAGAATCCGAACCCGCCATAGAAAATCCCTCGGCTCGGCTTCCTGCGAAATATCTTTGTAAATAATTTGGAGTTCGCCGATCATTGCATAATATCTCTTTCATCAATTCAAGTTTTCTTCTGACGTCAACGATCTCTCGACTTCCTATTATCCTATTAAGAATATGATATAGGAGCCAGGATTTCCCGTTATCCTCAATTAGATCTGCCATCTGTTATGGTCAACTGTCAATATATAAATCACAACACTGGTGAATGTGTTATATCTTGTGGACTTTTTGTAAGACAAATTAATGCATCCCAGTCAACATAACGATATGACAAAATGAGAACAAAATTAACAAATAATGTGACGTGACATCTTTTATGATACAAAGTCATAAATGTTCCTTGCTTTTTCTTCGAAAAAATCATAACATCCAAAAAGAGCATGTTTATAACATATGCATATCATAACTGCTGGCTTACATGAAAGTTAACTTCATACAGATTAGAGCAAAATAGATCACACATTACAATTTATATGTAACTGTTTTAGAACTCCTAATTCCATACCATAACGAAGCTCAATCAGGACAGGCAACGTCAGGACTACAGACTGGAATGTGTTTAGTTTTACCATATTTTATTGCCGTTCAGCAAAATGATATAGCACAAGTTGTAATAACATTATTAACGCCCTTTCCTTTAGGAAAAAAACAATTACATTTATACAGTACAATATGGCTCAAAATAATCATACATATATATATATATATATCATTTTAATTGAGAGAGAGATTTACTTGAATATCATGGCTAAATAAATACATTCTTACAAAATACATCTTAAAAATATCTTACAGTATATTATACATTTAACCACACCAACCGAATCATGCTGTCGCACTCTACAAGCATGCTCGCAAGCCATGAAAATTCGGACACAAAATTAAACTAATTGGAAAGAAATAATTATGCGATTTCATAGTGAAACACAGGATTGTAGAACGTAACCTAACTAAACCGACGAGAACTCAATATGTACTGTTGGAAATATATAGATAAATCTTTATTATCATCACCTGAGTAGTCTCCATGGCCAAATAATGATTTACTTAAACTTAACGGCAAATATTTATCAAAGGTTCTGAACATTACCAGACGTTGGTCGTTATATCTACCACATGCAAACAAGAAATGATGAGCATTTTCATAAGGATATCCACATACACAAGAAGGAGAGTCGGTTAGATTAATGTTGAAGAGATCTTCATTTAATGACGGTCTTTGAAGATCTTTAAAACGGGCGCAGTTTTAATATTAGTGTCTAGATCATTCCACAACCTTAACATAGAAGGTATAAAAGAATTGAGTGTAGATTGTAAAAGAAAATTAGAAATGGAAGTTTTTCAAGTTGTATTGAGTTAAGGAAGATACTTATGGGAAAAGAAGGTCTGTTAGGTATGAGGGAGACATATTTTGTTAATTTTATTGAAAAGTTGAAGTTTGCAGCGAGTATGGCGTTTAGATCAGACTTCCCAACCAGTTTCGAAATAAAGAGATGCTCTGCTAGCTGTAGTTTTTCTTGTTTATCAGCATCTGCAATCGTACATCCGTCCCAAACTCCGCAGCAATATTCTAGTAGAGGCAATATAAAAATAAGATAGATTCTATTTAAAGTGTTGCAATTCAAAGTATAGTTTAACTTACGAAGTATCTAAATATGCCTCGTGACATTTTTACAAATAATGTCAATATGATGAGTCCATTCAAAACCAGCATCTAGGAAAATGCCTAAATGTTTATGATGTTCAATAAAATCGATACCAACATTATGAAAAAAACTAAATTTATGTCAAGTTCCGTACTGGTATTTGAAATAAGTGCTTCCATTTTATTGGGATTAAACTTTACAAGTCAATTATCTGTCCAGTTTTGAATAGTTTCAAGATCTCTGTTTGTGGTGGTTTCCAGTTCGATTGGGGAGTGGGAAGAGATAGAAACGGAGTTATCATCAGCAAATAGGCGGGAAAGACTGTCAATATTATCTGTTATATCATTTATACACTAAAGAAAAAGAAATGGACCTAAGACAGAGTCCTGTGGTCACCAGCATTTGTCGTTTTAAAACGAGAAGTCACATTATGGATAAAGACTTGTTAGGAACGATTTTGTAGTTTAAATGGATTCCAGTGATTCCATAGCTTTGTAATTTATGTACCAGACCTCCATGCCAAACACGATCAAATGCTTTTGAGATGTCACAAAAACAAGACAAGCGTGTTTACGGTTTTCTAAATTTTTACATACCTTACGATAAATTTCAATTAGATGATGTACTGATGAATGACTTTGCTGGAATCCAGATTGGTATTTATATATCAATGAATTGTCTATTAAATAATTATGTAGAAATTTAGTGATGACTTTTTCAAATACCATCCCTACCGTGCTTAATAAGGGTATATATAGGTTTATAATTACTTGGACGTTGTTTATCGCCATTCTTGAAAATAGGCAAGACCAGTGTTTTTTCCGAGGAAATAGGATATATTCCTTGATCAAAAGACTTTCTGAAGATAAGAAATAACGGAAATGACACAGAAAGAGCAGTATTGTTTAACATTTGGTGACTAATTCTATCATATCCTTTACCTATACAGTGCTCCAGATAGCCTGCGTGAATGCGTTTTCACGCACAATATTTCTAATTTCACGCTAGGAAAAAAATAAGATTTGCGTCATTAACCCGTGCGAAATCCGGACTCTGCGTCAATGTAGGACTTTGAGTTCAACATATAATGTTATCTGACAATGACATTGACAATAGGATTAGTCAGTAAGTTTTACCAACTTATGAATGACTTCTACAACATACACATAAACATTTACATAAATATGATCACGTGGTGACATGAAACTATTATAATAGTCATTTTTATGTAAAATGTATAAGTGGACAAAAAATAAAGAAAGAGACAGAGAAATAAGAACAGGGTATGGCATAGGGAAAGAGAAATAGAAAGAGGGATGTAGAATGGGAGAGAGAGAAAAAAAAAAAAAAAAAAAAAAGGGGGGGGGGGGGGGGGAGAGAGAGAGAGAGAATTTAAGTGAATCTTCCTGACCTTCCTAGGAATGTTTGGACCGATTTGGCCATTCTAAGGTTATCATCCACAGAGATATTAGAGTCACCATTGCAAAGAATATTTACATTAACAATACCGTCATACCATATTAATTCTTGGTATAGTGCTCTACGTTGATCAGCATATAAAGGACAATTAAAAAAAAGATGATAAGAATCTTCACATGGGTGCCCACATTGACACTCTGGTGAATTTACAAGATTAGCCCTAAAAAGATCATAATTGAGTGGACTTGCACGGTTTCGGAGACGACAGTGGATGATATTTAATTTTCTGGAGCCATAACTAATAAATTGCTTGTGGAGAGTACTATTCACAGACATAGATTTTTTAAGATTTAGCTTGAAGGAATTTAAAGTGGGTGAATTTCTATATCATTGTTCAGGTTGTTCCAAAGATTAGTTGCAGAAGGAAAAAAAGAATTATGATTTTGTAAACGGAATTGTTGATCTCTATTAAATGGGCTCGTCTTAAATTATAGAATTACTAAATTTTCGTACAAATTTCTCATAAATATTTTTGATTCTGTGGGAAAAAAATAAAAACGTTAGAATTTTCTCTTTTTGCTTCCAGTCGAAATTTTTTCTGTTTGTATTAAGGCTATGTTCAAGGAATTAACACTGATTAAAAGAACGTTTTTTTTCAGTTGTGTTTTTATAACGCTGGTCTCGCATTAATATCAAACCACAAATCAGTATATATCCTGGCGTGTAATCAATTTAAAAACAATTGTTTTCAGTGGATAAACATTGTGCGCTGATCAGTCGGTGTACCGCAGTCATAATTGAAAACACCACGCGTATCAATTGGACCATGTGTGTAAACAGGTGTGTAAACAAGATCTGCATTATTAATAATTATTGTGAACCTGTAGTCGGATAGAAAGATGGTCCGAAAGCCTAGTGTCCACAGTGTCGCTAACGAATTCATACTTAGCATCACAATGATATTTGTTATGTTTAATAATATATAATTATATATCGTTGACATTTAGTTCCATGTCGATCTCTCCCGATTAAATGGGCTCGTCTTAAATTATAGGGGAAATTCGTGGAAGTTACCAACAATATCAGGTAATAAATCAATAAGGAAATCAGGTGCCAAGTTGTTAACTATCGAGTAAAAGAGGGAGAGCTTCCTGGCTTCTCTTCTTTTTGAAAGAGGTAACCATCCTGTTTCTCTATATAGAAAATCTATTTTTGTGTAAATAGGTAAACCTGTGACTATTCTGGCAGCTTCTAATTGGATTTTTTCTAATGACAGGGAATTTGTTTCACTACAGTTGCCCCATACCTCACATGCATATTCAAGAAGTGGTCGGATATAAGTTAAGAATAATTTCTCTAAATTATGTCTATTCAATATGAGTTTTAATTTACGTAGGGTTGCAATATATTTTGAGATTTTACTAACAATATAATCTACATGTAGGTTCCATTTACCGTCGTTAGAAATAATAACACCTAAGTGTTTATGCTGATTGGTAATTTTGATAGGTATGTTGTCGAAAATGAATGAGGGGACAAAAGGAAGTTGAAGATTTGAAATGATAAGGGCTTCGGTTTTTATGGGATTGAAGGACATCAGCCAATCTTTAGACCAAGTTTCAAGTTTTCGGAGATCAGATCTTGCTGCGGATTCAATTTGATTTAAATTACTAGAGGAATAAGAGAGGGATGTATCATCAGCGAAAAGTCTAGACAGGGAGATAAGTTCGCAAGAAATATCATTTATGTACATTAAGAAGAAGAGTGGCCCAAGGACTGAACCTTGGGGTACACCGGCATTTATAGGTTTGTATGAAGAAAGTGCATCTTTTATAAAAACTGCCTGTTTTCTTTCATAGAGATAGTTACGTATCCAGAGAAGAAGTTTTCCACAAATGCCATATTTCTCTAGTTTGTGTAGAAGACCTTTATGCCACACTCGGTCAAAGGCCTTCGAGAAATCACAAAAAATCAAAACAGTATGCTCATATTTTTCCAGAGAAGTAATTATTGAGTGATATAATTCAATGAGTTGATGGGTTGTAGAATGGTTGGGTAAGAAACCTGATTGGTACTTATAGATAAGATCATTTTGTACTAAATGATTGTATATGTGTTTATAAACAACACGCTCAAATAGCTTACCCAAACAACTTAACAATGAAATAGGCCTATAGTTTGAAACAATACTTGGATCATTAGCTTTAAATACGGGCATAACATGGGCAATTTTCCAGCCATTTGGATATATACCAGATGATAAGGAATAATTGAAAATGATAGATAATGGTACAGAAATTTCAGTAGATAGTAACTTTAGCATTTTGTGACTAATACCGTCGGGTCCTGATGCTTTGTTTGTATCAAGTATATTGACGATGTCTTCAATTTCTTTAGGTAGTAATATTATTTCATTTAAGACTGAATCAGTTCGCCTCTCAAAAAAGGGTAAAGCTTTATCAAGGTCAGTTTCTAATAATGTACAAACAGAACTGAAATAATTATTCAATAATTCACATTTACTGTTGTTATCATATATAATTTCATTAGTATTATTGTCTAAAAGTGGGGATATGTCAGTATGTTTACTAACTTTTAAAATATTGCGAAGAAGTTTCCAATATGCCTTAGGGTTGTTTTTGCTATTATCAATAGTTGAATCTATATTTTCATAAAAAATTTCTTTAGCTCGTTTAACCATGTTGTTTATTTTATTTCTAATATGTTTGTATTTATTTCTATTTGTTTCAGTATTGTTATTAAACATTATCTTTTTTAATCTTTCCCTTTTCCTTATATTGTTTCTGATGATCCCATTCATCCATGGTTTGTCCCCTTCCCGTACTAATATTTCTTTAGATGGTATACACTTTATTATAACCTCAAAAAATTTCTCAGTAAAAGATGAACACATTTCATTTACATCAGATATGTTGTTAAGGACATCATTCCAAGGGATGCTAGCGAACATTGTTTTGAGTTCATCAATGTTACATTGGTTATATAGCCATACTTTTCTCTTAAAACTATGTCTAATTTTGACAGGTATACTGATAATAGCAAAAACAGCATCATGGTCACTAATAGCACGATCAATTTCAATTACATCAGAAAAAGTTACATTTACATTATCACTTACAATAATTGGGTCAAGAAGAGTAGATGAGTTATCAGTTAGTCTAGTAGGTTCTGTTATTACATTTCTTAGGTTATAATCAGAGAGAATATTGTTTAAATGGCCCCTAATATTTTTTAGGAAATCAACATTAAGATCACCTGTAATTATTATATTAGATGTTTCTTCGAAAGCTATATCAACAGAGTGACGGAGATGATGCCATAATGTAGCATCATTATGAGAGGGAGGTCTATAAATATTACAAAGCAAATAAAGGGTATTTTTAAATTTAATCTGGGACCATATAATTTCATCATTACCAAATTCCAAGTCATTTCTTCTTTTAGCAAAGAGAGATTCAGAAAAATAAATTGCAACACCTCCCCCGAACATATTTCTATCATTTCGAAAAGGTTCAGTAAAGCCATCAATAGCAATTTCAGGATTTATTATAGAATCATCCAAATGAGTTTCGGTAATACAGAGAATATCGACATCATGTAATAATGAACTTAGGTAATTAACTTTGTTACGTAAACTTTGAATATTCAAATGGAGTAAACTGAGAGCACTGATAGTAGAATCATTAATTAGATTGGGCCCTGGGTTTGGATGTATGTCACCTGCTATTAATAAAATAATTATAACTATATTGAATGGATGGAGGATGTAATGGGACAGCTGCAGTAGCAAAAAAGATAACAGGTTCAGACAGTTAAGATGCGATATGAATGTTCTGAAGTACTTAAAATAATTGTGGATGAAAACCAAGGTGACTGGTATACAAGAAATTTTACAATAAAAACATCCAATGGCAGCCCTCCATGCACTTACATCATTTCCCATCATGGGGGGTTAAAAATAAAAGTCATAGGACATTGCTGGAGGTCTGCCAATGTTCTGCAGAATGGACAAACATATTCTAGGAAGGGAGGTTGGAGCAAAACAGGAAAGAAGATGGAATTGAATGGAGGAAGAAATAAAGCATTTGTTTGGTTGAAGAACACAGGATAGGTCAAGTAACAAAAAGAGTAAAGATTGAGCAAGAGGCAGTGTAAAACAAACAGTAAAGGGAGTGACAGAGAAATAAACATTTTAGGGGATCTATGATTTAAAATATACCAGTAGGGAATAAGAGTTTGGTGAATTATTAGAGATTTAAATAGAGTAGACAAAGATAGATACCAGGGCTAATATGATAGCATTGATATATATATTTCATATTGGTAAGCATAACAAAAATAATAGATTGTAGACAATGATCCACCTGCACAAGAGAAGTGAACAATAATCACAGTTTGAGTCAATTGATAACCAAAGATAGATATCCATACACTCATGCATAGATGACTCTCGGTTGTAAACCCTCACATGCATGCATACATTCATATCACACATATACATGCACATCCATACACTCATGCATTATTGACTGTCAATAGTAAACATTCACATGCATGCATACATTTATAACACACATATGCATGCATATCCATATACTCATGCATAATTGACTCACAATAGTAGACCCTCACATGTGTGCATACATTCATAACACACATATACATAGACAGCTAGGATATATATTCAATCACACATGAAAAATTTTCACCTTCTATAACTGTATAATAGCTCATGCATATGTACATATAATACATGCACAAATATTGGTAGTCTTGTAACATATACTGTACATAAAATTTAATTGACACTTTAGACCCAGACGGCATCAGCAGTACGGTTCCTCTATTCAATACTCACAACACATCAAAAAGTTCATGACATTCCGTCCCTACATATGCGTCCACCAGTTCATTCACTACCATCTTAATAATTACAGTTCAGCTGCACCATCTGGGCTAAGGAATTCACAGTTACACATGAACACATGCATCTATATACCTACTGCATATATATGGCATTCAAGAGTTCTTTGAAAAACATACAAGATATGATATAGGAGATTTCACAGGCTAACCCACACATAAATTAACATGCTACCGTTCATTCACATATTGGATAAGCATACACGTACATGTACATGTATTATATATCTCACAAATGATGTCAGCATATCTTTAAATTAAGCAACACTATTGTCTATTTACATTGAACAGGCACCGGCTGACAGGGTCGTGGACACTGAATAAGATTTAATTAACTAGTAACACCAGAATCATAATATAAGTTTTGTCATTTGTATTTAATCATGATATATAGCACTTCGCCGCTGTCAACTAGTCCCTGCTCAACAGCTGCACGGGTGTGTAAACCCATGAATACAGCGATCACACCACTCATCATTAGATACAATGTCATAACTGAAACAAGGTTAATACAAACACAGAAACCAAAAATAAGATCCATATGATGACTTACTTAGTCAGGGTCGTCCCCATTGCTTAAGGTCAATAATATCATCATTAACTGATGATCCACATGCTCGCAAGCCTCATCTTTTACAGACATTCACTTCCGGTTTCGTTCGAAGGGAGACAACTCATGACACTAAACAATATTGTCTTTGCTGTATGTTTTTCAAATGATTTGTTTGAATGATTTTTTATGGCACATGCATATGGGAACGATGTGTAAAGATGATAAACATAAACTAGACTAGTTAATTATTGAGATAATGAGTGTAAAAAAAAAGTCAACACTAACAAGAGCTCAATTATCCCGCAAATGTTCCGTGGAACACATTCTGTGCAGTTGTTTTTATACATTGTAGCTAGAAAAACAGCAAGTTGTAAAATAAATTCAACATAACACCTCTGACGATAATTGACTCTGGCTTGCATTAAGCCGTTAAAACCGTATATTGTACTACATAAAGGCTGTATAAATGTAAATTACACTAGGTTGGATTCACTCAGTTATTTTTTATGTTGGTCATCAAATGTAAGCACGCACGGGTGCCGCATCGTTGAACTTCATCATGAACATGATTTGTTGTATAAAAATGAAAATAGGGTATTCTTTAATGTACATTTTATCTCATGTAAATCACAATTAATATCAATTTATTGACTATAAGTATAATTGATTAGCACATAAGAATTGTTGTAGATTACTAGCACGTGGTATATGTGTATGGTTCAGTACACACATGACATTAGGCACATGTTTATAGGACCGCAGTATACAAGCTGCGACAATACCAGAGGTTGACAAGACTCGTGCTGCATATCAACTTTGTTATGTTACAATTATTGAGGCAAACATAGAAGAAACTTCATTTTTATTCAAATATCTGTAAAGGTCACTAAGATAAGAATGAAGTTTACAGATTAGATGAGGACGACGCAGAAGATGCTGACAGGCTCGTAGGTGGGAAAACTGATTGGAGAGGGGTGCCAGAGAGGGCAGCTCGATGTGATGAAGGAGTATTAGAGGACGACGGAGGGGACTGGCGATCCGGGATATGTAAAGTACTGGCAATCCTGTGTACACATTCATATGAAGTGATGAGGAGTTTGGGAGATGTTTTCTCCTTTTTGGCGAAAATTCGCCAATCCATCGTCCAATGGGACTCGATGAGGTTGTTTTTCCATAATTTTCCGAGCTCGTTTACAATACCCTGGCGGAAAGGAGTGAGGCATTCAGAGATGAATATTTTTTCATCTTTGTATTGGGATTTGAGATCCGACTTCACCTTGAAGATAGCTTGTCGATCAGTGTATCGGACAAACCTCGTAATAATAGTCACCTTGTTATTCCGGACCCTCCCGATAGTGTGAGTTCTCGAAAGATCAGCTTTGGTAAGATGTACACCCAATTTGTTACAGATGTCAATCACTGCCTGGTAGGTATCGAATTCAGAAATAGGCTTATCAATAGGAACATTATGGAATTTCAATGCACCTCGCCTGGTGTATTGCTGTTGCTCGTCAAGTTCTAGTTGGAGTGACGATACAGACTCACGAAGTTTGGCGATCTCCGAAGCTTGACGTCCGAATTCAAATTTCATCGATGCAGTAGTATCACGGACCTTAGAGTCAATTAACTCATTAATGACTTGATTGTTGGACACAGCCTGGTGGACCGCCTGATCAATAAGGGGTTTCATAGAATCAATTAATAGCTGTGAAACTAATGATGCCAGAGAGGGGGCCAACATTTCGGAAAATTTTGCCAAAAATTCGGGAGCAAACATCATTTGCGTCATAACCGAGTCAGAGGATGAAGAAGATAATATCCCGGGGGCTGACGACTGATCATAAGTGCTTGTAGGTAGCAAATATGCAGGGGGCGGTGTTGGAAAGTTTGAGGTTCGCTTTGTCTCAATATTATCGGGTGTTATTGGGCTACTAGGTTCTTTCCTCTTAACATCCCTTTGGCTTAATGCGTTAGTGAACATGCTGGCCTGTTCCTTGGATATAGTGATCGACATACCTGGATATTCTTGCGTAGACCTGCGTCCCTATATTGCACACGAATCCGTGACAAGTTCTAAAAATAGCACAGAGTGAACAGTCAATCACCAACAAATTATGTCACAATAAGATGTTCCAAAAGTTCCTGAGACGAAATATGTTCAACCAAAATGTTGCCGGGTACAATATTAACACACTGGCTTATTCACAATAACGAAAGACATGTAGAAATATCACTTCTAGCGAAAAATTCACCGCGCTCCTTAACCCTGGTCTTCACAGTTCAGCCATCACGTGATAGGGTCTATGAGTGGAGGTATAGTGTCAGATACATTAGCACTCTTAATTGATTTACGGACTAGTTTCCAGGAATTAATTAGGTTTCGCATAATTATCTAGTAGCCCATTAATATCGACATAAAAATGTTTTCTTGTCCTACGTTTAAGATTGTTGACATGATTTCTTTGGTTTTTAAATTTAGCCAAATTTTCTACAAAAAAATCTTTAAAAGTTTTTTTGTGTAATCTGTTTCTAATTCTGATTTCATGTCTCAATTCTGTAGTAAACCACGGTTTATCGTTCGGTCTTACCGTAATAGATTTATTAGGAATACATTGAGCGGCGTAATTTATAAATTTATCGGTGAAAATCAAGCACATATCATCACATGTATGAGCATTCCTAAATACCTGTTGTCAGTCAGTGTTTTGTAACAGGTGATTAAACTTAGGAAAGTCAGCATTTCAAGTTTAAATTCAACGATAGTTGCGTCATGGTCCGCAATGTCCCTATCAAGTTCAATTACGCTAGAAAAGCCGACCACGCATGAATCACTTGCTAAAACGGGGTCAAGAAGAGAAGCACGTGTATGGCCTACGCGGGTAGGTTGGTTTATTACATTATAAATAGTTACGTACGGATAATGTCGTTCAGTTTATGATGGATTTCAACTAGTAAATCAACATCTATATCACCAACTATAATAACACGTGGATTTTCATCAAATGCCTTCTCAATGGAATCGTCGAATTGTTCCCAGAATGAGTTTACAGTCATTTGATATATATATACTGTACATAGAAGATACGATGAGTTATGGAAGAAAATTTCAATCCAGATGGCCTCACCTGATTAAAATTCTAAATCAAGACAATGTGCATGTTCGCGGTCTTTGCGGAAGGGAATAATACTGAAACCAGGGATTGTAATAAGTGGGATTCGGTAATGCACACTACAGGAAATTCATCTACGATATTCTCAAGGTGAGTCGATTTATTTCTTAAACTACGTATGTTTAAATAGATAATTGTTAGGTTATTGGAATATACATCAGGCCCGGGATTTTCGTGTATGTCCATGCAAATTAATAGTAGCAGACAGAAGATAAGGATAAAATTAGTATTGCTGAAATAGCTTTTAACAACATAAAAAATAAACCGGTAACTCGAGGTCTTAATTGAGATAAGAAGGAGTACAAATAGAAATCCCACTTCATGAGAAATGAAATGCAAATTAATTTTAACATTTGGGAAGCCACTCAAGTGGTTATAATGTATACGCATGTAGAAGTTACCCGGTGTGTTACAAAATCACTACCCATTATCAAATTCGGTCACAGCTGGCTAGCTCTCAGCAAACTGATACCAAAATGTGTACAGAACACGTTTAACGTTGACTGGAAACTATTCGCTGAGTTGAAAGTGAAAGTCAGAGAGACAAGAATAAGCTTCGGAGATCCTGTAGGACAAGTCACTGACTGAGTATCCGGAGTATACGTTAAACAACTTAAACTTCCAGCGCACCAGTTAGGGGAGAGACGTTTGTGAGAATCGGCGATGGACACTGCCAGGGACTTGTACGCGGCTGCCGATAAAAAGATCGTGTCGGACAATCTATGTGTGCTAACGATTTTATTGTGTCAGTAGTAGTGTGATTGAGTGATTTTCCGTGGATTTATCAGTATTAAAAGGGAGTAGTTTTCCTTTGCACAGGTAAGGTTACGCACCAGTGATCACTTCGGGTGAACTATACGTGTATGTATAATATATAATATACGATAACGCGCTTTCTCATTTCTTCACATTTTTATCAATATATACACGACAAAAGAAAGTATAAGGGCATCAGTTTGTTTTATTTTGTAATAAAGAGATGATATTTCTACTGAAAACGATGTATTTACTACTTTCCTGGTTTTTTCCGTCTTACATTTTAAAGTGTTCGCTTTGCCGGGTTCCGTCAACAGGAGCCTAACTTTCTAACGTGACCTCCTGTTTTGTTTACGTTTTTTTCATTTCCGGCTGCAGGGGTGTAACAAAAAGTTAAACAAGGGTGTTTAAAAAGGATGTGTAGGTTAGTTAGCGGTTGGGAACGATTTTGACCACAAATGCCTTTTTGAAACATATGTTTTATTTTCCCTCTTCTATGCTCTCCCATATCCTCCTTGGGATGTTGTATTCCGCTCACACTACTGTTTAAGACATATGTATCTCTATAGGCAAACTGTCAGGGTTTAGGTGACCAGTAAAAACGAAAAGATCCTTTCTCTTATTTTTATGAATATTTACTGTCTTCAGGATACTTATTTATTTGATGACCAAGAACATATTGTCAGAAACGAATGGGGTTAAGTCAAACTCGGGAAGTAATGCTATGTTATCTAATAACAATTTTGAATTGAGAGGAAAGAAAGAAAGAAAAAAGAGTAATATACTGTTATTAGATTTTACAGGCCAAAACTCGGACAACCCAGAGTTCATTGACAACTTGATGGAAACTATGTAAAAATCACTTGGCGATGAAAAAAACAGTAGTGTGTGGTGATTTAAATGTAGTTCTTAACCCTGAGATTGACCATGATGATACACACTTAAGCACTTACAATGCTTATGCACGAGAAAACTTTAGAAGCAATAGACCGTGAATATTTCATTGACATATACAGACAGCATATTTCAAGTCGAAGAAGGTATACGAGGAGGCGAATTATTAATTGTCGCAGACAGTTAATTACCCTGTATCAAAGGTGCCTCAACAGAATCAGGAGATAGATCAGACCACTGCTTTCATAAACTTTTTCCCC